CTTTTACCTCTTTTCGTAGTTAAAATATGTTCGATTTTTAAATCCATTATAAATGTAAAAAAATATAAAAACTTACAACTGACTAATATTGTTAAAATTAATTTTTAAATAATCGTACATGAAAGTATAATTCAAGACACTACACATATCACACTACAGTGTTATTATGTACAACTTGGACAGCGTATCTGAATCACAATCTTATTTTCGATAAGCAATATTGCAATAATATCATCAGTATCTGTCACCCGGTTTTTACCTTGCTTAGGTAAAAATAATTTCACTCGCCACCAAACGGTACAAATTATAGTCGCCCAAACGACCACCGACCATCACTGAGTACGTAGTTTAATTTATTTTTTATTATAGATTTTGAACGTGTTCCAGGAGAGCGCGGACTATTAAAATAATATCAACGGAAAGGGAGGTGATGTATTAAAATGTGTGAAAATATCTAAAGGAACACTTTGCTCGATTTCGAGGTATAAATTTTGAAAGTAGTTGTGTTAAAGTTAACACGTTGACTACCAAGCCTAATTTTCAAAAACTGTCTTTCTGTACCATGAGGGTACTCGAGTTCTCTCACCAGGTCTATTGTGTACCGTTCTCTCAGTATTTCTTGTGTTTGATGTAACATTTACGCCATTTACTTTTATAAAATTGTACTAAATAGCGTATAAATCGTCATTAATATACGTTATCTACCTGTGATAACTGTGGGAGTCCTCGGGTTTTCTCAAAAAATAAGTTGTGTTAAAAAATTATCATTAATATTTTTATACATGTACCTATAGATAATTATGCATATGATAAATACCAGTGGCATGCATAAGATTTTTTGGGGTGTTGTAATATACATGAATTTTTTTTTTGCTCATCACTAAAAAATCTCTAACCACTATATTATAATAATGTAATCTATAAAAATAAAATAAATATGAAATAAGAGAAATAATTTATAAGGTATACCCAAAATAAATTTTGAATACAGACAATGATATCGCTTTTATCTCAGTTATCAAGACCAGACGATCAATTTATAATCAACCGTTGTAGAAAACCTAAATAATATGTTCCCAAGCAAAAATTATCAAAGTAGTAATAAAGTATCTAAATATGATCATAATATTATGACTTGTGTGTTTGTGTGTATGTGTGTGTGCAGCGTGTGTATAATACGTTTATAGTGTTTATACAAACTATTAATATGATTTTCAAGTTAAAATTCTAAAATATAATAATGTTAAAGAAAAAACCATTCACTTAGCAATTTTCTTCAACAATGTAAACATACTTCTTTAATATGTTCTCCTGATTAAATGTTCAAGAACGTAATACTTCAAAACGTTCTTCTTATAACCTGGCTATAAATCGAGGAATGAATATCAGTAGCACACAGTTCCCCAGAAAGAATATTATAAACATACATGGGTATCGCCAGGGTGTCAGATACATCAGTCAAATAGACCATATACTAATAAGTAATAGATACAAATCAAATATTACAAATGTTAAAATCTATAGAGGAGCAGACGATACGGACCACATTACCTTGTGGTTGGAGTTTTCAAAAGTAAAATGGCAATAAAATGGAATAATGAAGAAAAATTAAAAGCAGCTCGAAAATTCGACGTTGAGAAGCTTAAAGAAGAAAAAATATGGAAAAAATATAGGGAAACGGTAGACAAAAAGTTAAAATCAAGAATAAGTTCTGCTATTGAAGAATTAGAGGACAAATGGAATATGGTTAAAAATTCAATAATTGAAACTGCGGAGAGTGTAGTGCAATTCACACAAAAGCCAAAAAGAAATAAATGGTTCAACGAACGCTGTAGGAAAGGAATCCATGAACGTAATAATGCTAGGAACAAAGCTATCCAGTTACCTACACCTGAAAACATAAGAGAATTCGAAATTAAAAGGAAAGAAGTGACAAAACTAATAAGAAAAGAAAAAAAGAATGTCAGAAAAAGCAAGATCAAAGAGATCGAAAGGTATAAATACAATCCAAGAGAATTCTTTAAGAGGTGCAAGGCCATTAAATCTGGCTTTTTTCCGCATATATTATCTCTAGTAGATAAGAATTGTGCCCTGATATTACCATGTAATTGGAACTGAGATCGAATGCCCAATTAGAAAATTTATACAAAAAGGAAAATGTTGTGCAATTTATTAAAAAGAATAAAAATGCAATGGGCCGGACATGCGTGGCGAGCAGACGGATGCCTAATAAAAGGAGTAATGACTTGGTCGTTAGCGAGGAGGAGACCAAGGGGAAGACCACGAAGAAGATGGATTGACAGTATAAATGAGATATGAAATGCGGCAGCCCATGGTGGGGCAGATTGGCGAGTAACAGCGTATGATAGAGAGAAATGGGAGGAGGTAGTTTTGGCGGTAAAGATCCTCGATGGATCGTAAAGCCGGAAAAAAAGAAAATAAAAAAAAATAGACGCGAATAATCGTTTCTTCAGATAATTAAGGTAACACAACATACATATACCTATTAGATAAAGAAAAAATATTATTTTTATAATGCTTGTTTCCAGTGCTCAAATTGGGGGGGGGTTTGCAGGGGGACGGAGCTCCTCTACTATTTTTTTTTTTTTACGTACCCCAACTATATTTTTCCCCGGAACGGGGGAACACCACGTTCATCCTAATTGATGTCCAAAATAATTTGTATGTGAATTTCAATTTACGTCAATTGGAAAATTAATTTTACGATTTATAGCAGCGGTTCTCAACCGGGGGTCCGCGAGTAGGTATTAGGGGGTCCCCGGGAAAAAAAAGCGTAATGGCGGAAAAATTGAAATTTGTTGTAATTAATTGAAATTACTTGTGAAACTAGTAGTGAAATATTGTAAATGTTGTAAATAGGTTTTTCGTAACTTATACGATTTAGTATAAGTGTATAATAAGAGTATAATACTGGAAAACGTGTATTGAGAATAACCAACCAGAAATTTTTGAAGCACTGCATGATTTTCTCAGTGAAACTGATATGAACTTATCACAAGGCATCAAACACCAAATTGTTCAACATTTGAATGAGCTTAAAACAGCTTTTGCAAAATACTTTCCTAAATGTGGAAAAGAAGACCACTGGATTATGTTCCCTTTCAATGAAATTTATTTCAAATCTGCAGTTTTATCAGCCCGTGAAAAAGAAAAATTGATTGAACTGAAAACGGACTCTTCACTCCAAGCAGCATTTCTTGAAAAAAAATCACTGATCACCTTTTGGGCTAATGTGAAAGACGAATATCCTGAGCTTTCTTACAAAGCATTCAATGTTTTGCTACCGTTTACGAGCTCTGTATTAGTGGAAAGAGCCTTTTCGTCATACACATTTATTAAAAATAAGTACCGCAATAGACTCTCGGTGAGTTCGGACTTACGAGTTTATTTATCATCCGTGGAGCCAGATTTCAAAAAGTTAAGTGCTAGCAAATAAGCTCAAGGATCACATTAAAATTACATTTTTAACTCAATATTATTTTTTATTATTTATTTTTATACATACAATGTATTACGCATGTTGATCAAAATAAATCAAATTTTTCATTATTAAACTTATTTCGTAAATTCATATCTATCTTATGTAAAAATATATGACAAATTGGCATTTGGGGGTCCGTAAAGTAGTAGTGAGTGGCCAAGGGGTGCGTGAATGAAAAAAGGTTGAGAACCGCTGATTTATAGTATCAAAATTATTTTTATAATTAAAGATTATATGGTGGTTATGATAAGGGACAACGTCGTCATTTCTGGAAAAATATAAATAGTAATGTCTGTGAATTTGGTGTATTATACTTTATACATTGTACGGTTTGTTTTTAATATTGGCGATCGACAATATCGTCATTTCGGAAAAAAAATAAATACTCTCACCACGTCCTTAGACTAATCTTCTAAGGCCGTGCCCCGAACTATAGAGGAAAAATAGATAAAAACAAAAACTAAATATATGATTATAATTAATTAAACATTTAATTTTTAAAAAGTAATTATTACTGAAAAAAAAAATTGAAATAATAATTTATTGATGGCTATCAAATTATTATTTTATGTTAAGTATTAAAATAATACAATTATAATTTTAAGAATAAAGTAGTTTCTCTTTGGCAAACGAAAAATATCGTAACATTCAAAACCTATATTTGTCATTATGTTGCCGGTTTTGCTAAAGTCTTTCTGAAAGTATTGACATCACTTGTATAAAAATTAGCATTTTGCTAAATCGTAGAATTTTGAAAATTTTCTTCCAAGAAATCGAATCCGGGGTAATAGCAAGCTATAAGATGTTTCTGAATAACCGTTATCGACAGAAACGCTGCTCCGACAACCGATGTAGTTATAAAACCATACATTAATATAAATATAATAAAAAAGTATAAACTAAACAAGGGCATATTTGAATTGAAACTAATTTTTCTTCTATACAAATTTAAAATAATTTACAGTTGATTACCTAAAGCTCATGATGTCCATTCGCGTAAATAAATAAGTAAATAATAAATATACCTAAGTAACAAATTGAATTAAACATTTATGTAATATATATATTTATAACATATTGCGTGTAAAATAAGCATGAATAAGAACAAACTTCAGGTACGGAGTCATTACAATTTACAGTATTTATCAAATGGAAATTTTTAAATTTTGATGTAAAATAAAAATTGAAAACACTTATATATTAAACATTTTAACATAGAGAGAAGATTAGAATTTCAGTTCCAATTATCATGTATGATAAACATATTAATAAATTAGCCTTCTCTCTGGTGTACACCATTGAATTGTATATAAGTATAAAACAATATTTGATACATTATGCTTATATAATAATAATAATAATAATAATAAGTGTTAGCTTATATTTATAAGTTTATTTGAAAAAACGCGGGTTTTTATTGTTTTCAAGACCACCATTGGTGTCACTGGTTACGGTTTATATCCTCGCTTTTTAGTTGTACTTGTATTCCCACTCCCTGTAACCAGTTTTCAGTTTGTGATTGTCGCCGATCATGTATGGTAGCGTTGCGCTTTCGTGAAACATGTGCTATCCGCTAAACGTTGGCCGACTGTCGATGTTGTTATTATTGTGCGCCCGTCTGTCTGATTATAATGTCCAATACGTATACTGTTGAGAAAAAGTCGGAAACTAAGACCAATCCTCAACATTCGCCTACTATCCGAATACAAGTTGATTTGTTCGAACCCACTGAAGAGAGATACCCAGTGTTTAATTATCAAAAATTACTTATCGAAGAAGTAAGTAATGCAATTAAAAATACATGTTTGCAATACAATGCTTGCATTCTACATACACATACACGCACATTCATACATACACACACATATACACACTCACACTTACGCGCACATATATGCACTCACGTTTATATAAATACGTATGTATCGTGATAACTTTGTGTTTACTTTTATATGAACACAAATTACATTATCATACTTTATTAAACATAATATGTATTGGGAAATAAATTAATTGAACTTTTTGATTTTCGATGGTGAATCAATTGTTTTTAAATGTTTTTTTTTTGCTGTCTTTTATGATAACAGTAGTGCATTAACACGTCTTTCAATTGGTACGAAATTAATGAAAGTATATTCTGCTCCTATCTTTATTTTGGCGCTATAATTTTTCAATTTTATTTTAAACTATAAGATTATATAATGTTTATTTTACATGTATATAGTATATTTTACTAAGTTAATTAAATTTTTTATACTCTGTTTTAAATTATGGAACATACAAGATACTCAAGTTTTTTTTTGGTTTTCTTTGATTTCAGTTTTTTATCATGTTAAAAATGATTTATTTATGTTTCTGAATTAAATTAAATAAACTTTTTTATTTTAAAATCAGTACTTTTATCAAGTGTGTATAATTGCTCATTAATTACTAGTCAAAATATAATTTTTATTTTGCATAGTGTTTATTAGTGACTATGTCAATAAGTCCACAAATCTAATAAATAATATAAAATAATAAAAATTATATAATACATTTTTTTAGTAAAAAAATGTATAATTTATTACTTTTTTTATAAACATTATTTCACATTTATAAATTAAAATTATTATCATAACTATTTGGTATTTATATTTGTTAAAGAATAAATCAGTTATGCATACTTACAACTTATTGTTTTGACGTTTTTTTTTTCAAATCGTTAAAATGATTAGATTTTGTTGGATTTACATATTTGATCAGGTCTTCAATTTAAGTTTATATATTTTATTAGTATAATTAAGAAGTGCCATAACATATTATAATTTATTTTTATAAAGGTTTCAATAATTTTTGTTTTAAAATTTTTCTATATAATTTCATTCTAAAATCTTTAAATATCCTTGTATTATTTTCAATTTACATAATAGAAGAATAAACTTAGATTTAAAATTATAAATTATATAATTTTGCTCATGTTAAATTTAATATTATTTTCATATTTCTGAAATTTCATATATCTTGGGATTTAGTTTTATAGAAAAATTGTGTATCATTATTTGGATGACTATGAACTTGTTATAAGAAAATATTATTTAAGTTTTTTTTTATTTTTTTAATTAGTTATTCGTAATTAGGTACTTAAATTTGACTTTTTGTATTTAATGAAATATAGCTTTTATATTTTTTGATGTATTTTCTACTTAGAATGTACCTATAAATGTAATTAAATCATATAGTAATAAATTACCTTTATATCTACCTTAATAATTTAAAGTTATGTGTACTAAAATATAGAAGTATAGTATTTTAAGTTAAATTATTTAATTATGCAACTAAGAGTTTTTTCTCTAACATTAATGGAATTTGAATATTTTTTTTTAAACAGATTAGTGATATATATTATATAAATATGTTTATCACCTAAAATATATTTAAAAATTTTATAATTTCCATATTTTATTATCTTATTTATTTAAATGTACTATATAGGTTTTTTCCGAGATTTTTTCTAAAATAATTTATATTTTAAAAAAGATTATATTTTATTTTTGTATGTATTTTCTTATGAAACATTTGTTTTGATAAATGGGGAATACTTATAAACTATTTTTTTTTCTTTAAAATAATATTTTTTTCAACATTTAAGTAATACCTATTTATTTAAGTTATCTGTAATTATTTATCTTTGTTTATTTTATAAATACACTAAAACTCGCTTAAGACGCTCCTTAAGGAACCAGTTCATTAGAGTGTCTTAAGATACTGATTGAAATATTGAGTTTATTTTTTTATTATTGAATATAACTTAACAAATAAGAAATTTATAAATTATAGATACACTTATTTTTTTGCTATTGCATTTAATTAAAAAATAATAACATACATTTATATACTATTTATATATATATTTTTATTATTATATTTTCTATTTTATGACAAATTTAAAAAATTGTCCATTTTTATTTCTTTAAGATTTTAACAAGAAAGTTTTTGGTTTTGTTGACATGACCTAACATTTCTTTGGCATTTTTTACAGAGGATAATACTTTTTGAATTCTCAATAGGTGTTGCAAATCAGCAGAAATTGATGGAGTCTATACTGGATTTTCTAGATCTTCTTTTTGATCGTCTGAAATCACATAATATTATGAAATTTAAACCTATTCGTTAAAAATACTGTAGGTAGTATGATAAAATAGAACGATAAATACAATAAGTGTATGTAAACGTGTAAAATTTCTATTTTTATTTTCACACAATTAATAAACCTTATTGTAATCTGCTGAACAGAAGAAAGTCTTAATCGATTAGATAGAGAAAAACTGATTGTCTTAAAAAGTAGTTTTTACATTGACTTGTATAGGAAATGTCTAGAGACTGACAGAAACAGTGTCTTAAGCAAATTTTATTCTATATATGTTAATTGTTTAGTCAAATAGGTACTTTATTAACAAATATTATTCTTATACAATTGAAAGTACATACTTATATTAAATATATTTATTATATTTATGATGTATAGTAAATGTATAAAATGTATTATATATTAAGCTATTTATCTATATAAATAAATTAAATAATAATACAAATACAATTTTACAATTTATATTTATTTTTTATGTAAATTTTATAGTTATATAACAAATATTAGGATGGCGCCTATAATATAATGAATTATATTACTTAATTAGTGATAAATATTAAACAATCTTATTAAATAGATAAATGCTTATTTGAACTTGTATGAATTTAACCCAATTTCTATTTTAAAATAATTTAATTTATCCAAAATTAATTTAACTTTTGTGTACCATCTAACTAAAATATGTTTTAAAAACTTATTATAAAGAACAGTTTATAAAATTATTTGATGGTTATTGAATTGATTTGTTATTATTATTCATTAATTAAATGAATAAACTTTATAATTTAATTTAATTAGATACCTACATAATAATATTTTTATTTAAAATATTAGTAACTGTTTTGAATGGGGTTATTTTATTATTTTATTATTTATTTATTAGGTTATTCAACTATGAAAAACATTTAATTTTTATCATTTGGATTAAACTTGTTTTTTTAGAAATAGTTGGTGTAAGAACAAAATGTATAACATCTAAAACATTATTATTTTTTTTCAGAAAAAGCGCCGAAGAAGAGATCAGCAGGCTAATTTTGATGAAAATGAGGAGTCAATAAAACAATTGGCTGATCATTATGAACAAAAATTTGTAAGTTCTTTTAGAAAAATTGCTTGGTAATGTCAAATTGCATAAGTCATTTAATTTTACCTTATTTTTATATAATTTTTTTATAAGTTAATAATTTGTAAAATGTTGTCTATTTTTTCATTTTGTACCATAATTTAAATTTCTTTAATTTAATAAGGCATTTTGATCTATGTCCTTCATATTTTTAAATGTTCATTTAATAAACATGTTTTCATGTTTTATTGGTATAGAGTTGTATACATTTTTTTGTTTTAATATAAATCAATATCTAAAATTATTTTTGTAATGAGAAATTATTAATATTATATTTACATTTTTATAGGGAATTATTAGTAGTGTTAAGAAAAAGAAGAAGAAAAAAACTGCCTTTTACAATTATTCTGAACTAGCAGCTGGTTACGATGAGAATGATTCATTCATTGACAATACTGAAATTGTAAGTACTTTAAGTATTTTAATGTAACTCCATTGATGATGAATAAATGTTATTTTTGATTATTTTCTTCATAAGTTTTGTTCATATTAAAATTATTTTTTTTTTTGCTTTTTCTTCTTTGATTAAACTGCCTAAAAGTAAATTAGCACAAAAGATTCATGTAGTACTTATACATGTCTTAGGTAAGAAATTTACTACAGGTAATTCTTTAGGAAAGTCACTTTTTTATTAATTAGTTGTTTACCAACATGAAAGTATTTGTATAAATAAATTTAGTAAACTCTTTATGTTTATTTTAATCAGAACTAAATTATGTTCTACAATGAAAAGAACTGAGAAATTATTAATTCAGTTTTTTAACTTATGCTAAGTCTTATTCAGTCTTGTATATTTTTATTATATGTATACTTAAGTTTAATAATTGAACTTTTTACTATAAAAATGTCTAGTTTTATAAGCTTATGAATGCCTTGTGTTCATGTTAAGTATTTATTTCATAGATTTATTTTAAATTTTATTTTGAATAATGTCAAATAGTATAAAATTAAATATGTTCTGTAATTAATGATAATCCAAGTAAAAAAGTAAAAATGTCTTATAGAAGCCAAAAATATATATTAATAACAGCATGCTCTATAGGCTTTTTTAAAATTCAATTAAATAATATTTTGGTATATTTTGAATTGTACATGTTACTTAATTATTAATTATGTCTTTCAAATTTAAAAAATTGTTTATACTTTATTCATATTTTGTCTGCATGAAAAATTATAAAATTTTGTATATTAATTTGAATGATATTGTAACTAGATTTAAATTGTTTACAGAAAAATTACATAATATATGTATTTATATAAAAAAATTTGCGCCTACTTGGCTGTTTGTGGTATTTGATAATTGTTGAATTATTATTTACAATTTATTATTATTTATTACTTTGAATACCTTTGTAAAAATATATTATTTATTAACTTATATATGTATAACTAATTCAAATTATATATAATATCTTAAGTTATTTTTAAAATTGTAAATTAATGACATTTCTTTATTTTCGGGTTACTTTAGTTTGATGAAGTTTTGCCAAAAGAAGTTGAAACAAAACTTGGAGGTTATTATGTAAATTCTGGTTCTTTAGAATTTAAAGAAATTTCTGAAGTTACTGAAGATTCTGATGAAATAAAATCTAGTCAACCTCGTATGGTAAATTTTAAATTGTGTTGTTACTAGTCAATCAATTTTCTTAGTATGTTTTACACTATTTTTTTAGCACTTTATAAACTCTGTATTAGAAGATAGTGATGAAAAACTGCCAACTTTTGTTGTTTCAAATAATTCAGGAAAAAATTCATGCACAGAAACAAAGGTATATACATAAATTTATAAATCTTTATAGATGGGATGGGTTGTTATTATTTATTAGAACGAAGAAAAAAAAAACGAAAGAGCTTTTTCAGATAAGACACAAAAAACAGTCCTCTCCCTTAACCCCTTACAATTTTGTTGGAGGCTGAGGAGAATGGAGGTTAACTGATGTTTCGTTTCTTATTCACTATCTTTCTCACCCATCAGAATGAAGCTACCCATTGCCTCAATGGACATTAGGAGTACGAATGAGAAGCATTTAAATACAAGAATTCACCACTGATTGTGAACATACAGTTTTATTATCTATAGTTCGCCATATTTTTTTTAAATTAATGATGCAATGCACCGCTGATGGTACTAATATATTTAAGGACTTCATTTATAGCATCCAAACAACAAAACCGATGTCAGATAAAACTAAAGAATTAAATAACATACTATTTCATAAAATATTTGTAATTTTGAAAAAATGTGATAATAAACGATTTTTAAATAAGACTTATTCAATTTTTTATTTATCAAATATTAATATTTTACTCTGTAATAATGATCAATGTAATTGATCTACATTTTTTTGTATATACTTAATTATTAATAATAAAAAAAAAAACAAATATAAAAATTTCAGTCTTTAATTTTAGTGTTCAATTATTTGATATATAATAGTATAAACATCTATAGATAAAAATCAGAGTCCTTTTTAATTTTAAAGTAAGTTAGAGCACTAAAGTTAATAAATCAGCACTGAATCAGAGGTATAGTCCTGTATTTAAACGCTTATGATGAATGAGTCTATGGTCTTATACATGTATAAAGTTTGCCTTCCTCCTATCAAAAGGTCTAGAGACACCACTGATGGATACCCTGTATTGGGATATTGATATTTGTTATTCAATAATATTTTAATAATTTTACAGACTTGTGAAACATCTAATGATTCGTCTTCTTGTTCTAAAGAAGAAAAAGAATCACCAACATCTGTGTGTCCATCTATACTTTCAGTAAATGGAAAATGTAAAAGAAGACAGTCCATTGATTCTGATAGTGCTAACTCCATTATTCCATATAAAAAGAAAAAAATTAGTACTGTTAAATCATTGATTCAAGAAAAAAAAGTTCAGCTACCAGAGTGCAAGCCAAGTATTAATATTTATATATTTATATATATTTTTTAGTAGTAAATGTTATTAAAATTAATAGAATATAAGTTTGATTTATGTGAAAATAATTTATGTTTTTCTATTAATCTCTTTTTAATAAAACCATTTTGAATATTAAATTTTTTTGAAACAATGAAATTCTTATTAATAACATTTTTCTTTAACAAATTAATTTTTTATTATTATAAGAACATAATATTATTTCTATTTTGGAGATTTCAAAGGTATAGCAAAATTAAGTTTAGAAAAATAACAAGTATATAAAAAAATTGTTTATTTACAATTTTTTTGGCAGTAAAATCATATTGTGTAGGACAAAACAATTTAGTGTAAATTCATTGTATAAACTCTTTTTTTTTTATTTTAAAGAAGAGAAAATTGATTTTTCTTTAATATTTTTTTTCAACCAAAAACTTTAATTTTAATAATATGAACTGATTTATATTTTTAAAATCATTTTTGTTAACAGAAAAATAAAAACACTACAATACAAATATTTTTTTTCTTAAAATAAAAAATTAATGGAACCTTTTCTATGTATTTCCACTGAATGATTTTATCTTGTGTAAAAGAATTGTGTACTCAAATTACTTGCCTATAAATCATTCTAACACTTTAAATAATTGCAGACATTTATATAGTTCTTCAACAAAATAGGATAAACATTTTTTATATAGTACATAAACATACATATGTAAATAAATATGCACATAATAATGCACCTACTATTAATATTATTTTTTTTACTACACATTATTATAATTATTATATACATCATTATTAAATATTTTAAGTAATATTTATTATTTATAAATATTTTTTTTTAATTAATACAAGTTTTAAATTACTGAAGAGTTGTATTTTTGTTCAATAAACAGACATTTTTCAAACTTTTAAAAAAAAACTGTTGAGTTTGTATAATAGAGATAAAACTGTATTTATATAATTTATATAAATTATTATGCATATTGACTACTGTTGTAGTTATTTATATTAATATTATATTATTATATTTATATTATAGCAATCAATCTTACTATATTCAATTTTAATTTTTAATTTTTCTATAATATGAATTTAGAATAAATCATTTGTTGCTATTGGATAATTTTTTTATTCTGAGAATTTGAAAAAACTTGAATATTATGTTAAATTTTATCCTGTAATCAATTTTGTGTAAAACAACCATTTAGTTTTTTTTTTACAAATTAGTTACTAATTTAGCGAGTATTTTATGTTGAAATAATTCTCATACAATTTTACCTAATGTAATGGTATTGGAAGATTTGTTTTTATTAAATTTAAATTATTCAAATTTGAAATTATTTTAAAGTTAAAAATATAATAATTTTTACAAAAATGTATAACTACAGAGTAGTTGAATATATATTGTATATGAAACTTATCTCTGAATTACTTTTAACGTAGTGTTTCATTATTCACTTTAAATTAGTAAGGATTTCCAAAGAACTTGCTTTTGTGACTAGTTTTATACTAGCTTTTATGTTATATTCATTTTGTTAACATATAATAATGGTAAAAGTTATTTTTTTGATTGTGAAATATAGAATTTGAGTAGTTTTAAAATCCAGATTGATTTAACATGTAGTGTTATTATCTTTTAATTTTTAAATATTATTTAGGTGGTTCAAAGGAAACTCAACCTGTATTTTCTGAAGAAGTTCCTACTACAGAAAATAATGTTAGTTCAATTAATGATACAATTGAATCTGTGATTTATGCAGCTTGTTCAAAACCTGTAAATGTATCATGTTAGTATTTATAGTTTATTAAAATTAAATGAGAAATTCTTTAGTTTATTAATTAATTGTAATTTTAGCGAGTCCAGGTGACATAAAAAGTACACAGAATATAATAAATCCACCCATCAGTATTGATATACCTGTTTCAAATGGTGTTCATAATATAGCAGAAGAACTTCCTGAAATAATAATGGAAATTATTGAATCAATTAAGACTGAAGCTCAAATAGCAAACCAAAATAATTTAAATATATTTTCTGAACAAATAAATCTAAATCTACTAAGGTAAAATATATTGTATATTTTTGCAGTAATTTCTTATTAGATTATTATAAAATTTAAATATCACAAATGTATTAATTTAATGCTTTATTATTTATTAACATATGGACTGATGTCAAATATTCATTTTATATTTATAATTTTCATAATTAAACAGAATTCAATTAAAGTTTACCATGATTTTTTATTTGTATTGGTATTTATTTTATATAGGTTGTGTATAATTATTGTTTTTTTTTTTTGATAAATTTATAAATACCCATTAATAATGCACTTGAAATTAATAAGGTTGATGTGATTATTTTATTTTAGTCTTGAATACCAAAAAGAAATATTACCATTTAATGCACAACCAGTTTATGCTTTATTAGCTGAATGCATGTTATGTGACAAAGAGAAGCTTGTTAAACAAGTTAATAATTTGGTTGACTCTGAAGAAGCAAAAATTACTGAACCAATTGAAAAGTAAAAAAAAAAAAATATGAAACAATGATTTATTAATTTAAATTTAAGTATTTCATTATTTTAATCATTATTATTTTTATGCCTAAGGTTAAGAACTGCAATTAAAGAAGTATTACCATCAGTTATTGAGCAGTATACTCTAGAATGTAATAAAATCTTAGATCAACGGTATGTGCTATAATGTATTATAATATATTCATTTTGTATATCCAAATCTTAATTTTATAAAATGACTGTTTATAATATTATGTACAGCGTTGTCAGATTTTTACTAGTATGTATTGTAGATTACTAATAGGAAACTAAATATTAATTGAAAAAAATGTTGCTATCGATTGTTGGGTATCATAGAAGTTTAAAATAATTTTGATAGATAGGAAACCAGAATTTTATCTACAACAATTGCACTATTATGTACTTATGATGTAAATAATAGCCAATCTGTTTTGTTGTCTCATGTGCTCGTATTGTATTCCTAAATAACGTGTATTTTGCAAATTGAAATGGAAAATAATGAAATAAAAATTATTTTATACAAGAGAGGCAAAAAGTTAGCTAATGTTGAAGCTTTCAAGTATATGTTTATTGGGATTAGAAAAAATGGTGAATTATTGAAATATCCTACGGTACAAAGCCTCAACGTCACACCCATTTTTGTGCTCAATCATGTGGTTTTTGAGTTTTTTTTTTATTCCTATTGTTTGATTGTAACCGTACTCAATTGGGTTACGAAAAAAATCAATCGGGTTCCAGCCTTTCAGAAACTCTTTTTTTATAAATATTTTTCAATTTTGTTTAGTTATGAAAAAAAAAAAAAAAAAGTTTATAATTTATTTTAATTTTACATACCTTTTTGTAATAATTTAATAACATATTTTCTCAAAAAATACAATATATAGATTTGATTTGATACTTGACTTTACATACAACATTATTGTAATACCTTTTAAAATTTAATTATGAGTTACATAAATTGGTTATTACATTGATTTTTGAACTTTATGAGATTAGTGAACCCTTATTTTTTGTTCATAATCTCACTTAATTTATATATTATTATTGTTGTTTATTTCTATGAAAAATGAATAAACAGGTTTGTGTAGGGCTTAAAAACATTGACATTTGACTGGCTTTGGCTTTATAACTTTCCAAGAGTCTTTGCCGCCACCATCAAGACCTTCCATCTTCCCCTATTCTGGATAACATCTTTCCAATCTTAAAAATATTAATATTTTATAATTATTACAAAAACATTAGCTATTTATTATTAAATATTCTGTTTATTTGGAATATTTCAGGATGGTTAATGGATTTTCTAATGATGGAATGAAATCTAAACCTGGGCCGAAACGTCCACGTCGTAAATTTCCTTGGAATGAAGAATTTAGGTATACTTATTTAAATATATAAATAATAATTAATATTATATATATGTTATAATAAATGATTTATACATGGAAATTACATCATTAACCGGAAATTATTGTAAACTTAAATACAAAATAGAGATTTTCGATATTCACTAAACAAATTGGTAAATGTTGTATATAATAAAATTTGACTATAATACAACTTTATATTTTTATGCTGCAGTTTTACATTAGGTAGATTACTAAAATCTATAAATATGCTTTTTGTGCAAGTTATCTGATAATCATTACTTCTTGACATACCTAAATCCATCAAAGAAAAAGAGCTTATTCTTCGAGAAGCAGTTGGTTTGAGCAGTATTTCGGGCACTTAAGGGTGCCAATGATGTCTGCAAAAATAAGTGTAAAAAATAATAAATGTGCTTATTCTTCAGGCAAACTTTGTAATTTAAAATGTCATGGTTCATTTTTATGTGAAAATAAATAATTAATAATATATGATATAAATACAAAAATAACTATTTGTATAACTTTTTAACGTAAACTCCCAGTAATTGACGTAAAAATCTACTCATATAAACTAAAAATTAATATTAACGATATTTACCGGTAAACTAAATAAATTATTATTCTTTGTCATTCACTGTAACATATATGTAATTTATCATAATATATTTAGTTTTTTTAATATCTTAATTTAAAAGTGATAATATTAGTTTAAAAATATCTGAAGTACAAATTGTATTTAATATCGCATTTTTTTTACAATTTATTAGACTTGCTTTATTTAATTACAATATAATCTTATATTTTATTAGATAAGTTACTACTAGTTTGACTTAATATTTCATTTTGTATCTATAGTGGTATTTAATTTTGATATTATTTTATTAAGCTATTTCATTGCATGTTTGGAATATTAATGTAGACTTGTTTTCTATCAAAATCATCAGTTGATTGTATGATGGAATTATAAATTTACTTAATCCTTCGAAATTCCAAAATTAAATTTATATATTTTTATAGAATTTGTGAGGGGGGAAGAATATTGTATGTAAATATTGTCTCTTGAATAAACTGTTAAAATGCTAATTCTTCTTGGTAATTTAATAAGTGCACATTGGATTAAGAATATATAATGTTTATTGTATGTCACATAAATTAATTTTTTTTTTTTTTTATTGAAATAAATGTTAATTTAATTTAAATATTTATTTATTTATTTTTTTATTGTAATAGAATATTAATAATTTAATAAATATTTTCAGAGCTTATGTACGAGAAATTATTAATATTCGGACTACCACCTATTCTAAAATTAAAAGATCCAAATCAATAGATATTTATATTGCTCAGTTTATAAATAGTCGTATCAAATCATTATGGCCAAATGGATGGATGAAATCTACCAACATTTTAAAAGAAATTAAAGCAAAAGAAAAGGATTCTAGGTAAGTTAAATAAACATTTAAAAATAACATTTTTTAAAATTATTTTCTCTTTGTTTTAAATTTAAGATTTTTCTTTAATTTAGAAAATTATTTAAATATAAAAACTGTTCCACAGGCCTAAAGTACCTAAAAAACAACCTCTACAAAATAGTCCAACTAAATTGATGAATGCTATTAAAGTAGCATCTAAACATAAAGTATCTAATTCTGCTATGAACAAAATACATAAGTCGAATAAGCAAAAACCTTCAAAAATACCTGACTTAAGTACTGAAACTCCTAAATCTACTAGTCATGCTCCATCTTCATCGCAATCTACAGCAACTAAATTTAAGCCCTTTTATAATTCTCCACATTCAGTGGCCATCAGTACTTTAAGTGATGACATACATCCTTATCAAGCAACTATTACTACTACTGCAATTAATGGTTGTAATAAAAAAGATCCTGAAAATAATAGTGTTATTGTGAAAACAGAAGCATCAGCTGGAGATATATTGGATTTATCTCCTAATAAACCCAATGCAATGTCATTAAACAAACAAAACGATGTTACTGTGATTAGTAATAATACCTCACAGGACAATAACAGCCCTGCAAAAACGGTAAGAATAAATCATGATTGAATATGTATAGTTTTTTTTCACAATGAAACAAATAAATTACATTATTTTGAAATTACTAATTATTTCTTTTTTTATGTTTATATTTTTTTTTCTAAATGACATTTGTTGCTTTTTTATGAGTTTATGTACAAGTTGAAAGTAATTTGATCAAATTTAAATGAAATAACAGTGTTACTTTTTTATTTTACAAATTAATGCTGTAGATAAATTTACTAAGTAATTAATATATTAATGTATATGTTGGCTATAGTTCTATTTCTTATTTTACACTTATTTATTTTATTCGGTTTTTTTTTTTTTGCATGTAATAGACTAATATTAGTTACACAGTTAACATTTAATATTTGTTAACTTGGGTTTGCACAATGAAGGTGTTTGTTAATGGTTTGTTATATCTTACATTATGTTTACATATATATTTTGTATCCACAATCAATATCATTTAAAAATGAAAGATTATTTTCTTCTATTATTGATGTTATAAACTATAATGAAAATATTAGCCTAACCATCAGAAATTATAATAACAACCTAATTACATATATATTAATACAATCAGAATTTAAGGACTCCATAAGTTAAATTGAAAAAAAAAAACAATATTTTGAGTTAAAGAAAACCAAAGAGTTTTCCTTTATTTCTGTATGGTTTGGAAACATTTTTATGAAGGAATTATGTGTAAGTATAGTTATGATTTGTTATATATTGTGTTTTTACAATAATTAAATAATGATAAATGTTGTAGATATGTAATGTTAACTATGAAGTGTAATATTTGCTTAAATACATAAGTTTGTACATAAGAATACACAATTAACATCGTCTATTAAATGTGAGATCAAATTATTTCAATAAATCATTATTTTTACATAAGATACTTGGTTTTATTGCAAAAATTCTTAAAATAGATTTGCATTTATCATAAAATATACTTTAATTATAATTTTTATTGGCTTACCTTGTATTACCTTAAATATAAAGGAGAAAAAAGAATAAATATTCACATTTAATATGAGAAATTAAAAGAAAAAAAAACTAAATGAGTATTTCTTATGTTGAATTACAATATTTTTTAATTGAGTATATTACAAGGTTGATGACTAGAGAGAAGGATTGATTTCTAGATATATCCATCATATAAAAAGGAATGTTTCCAATCTGTACAATTATAATAATTACTATAAAATATCTCATTAATTGAACTGTTATTATTAATCCGCCATTTTCATAAAGAACTATTATACATCATAAAACTATCTTAAAATGATATATTTATTTGATCTATACTAAGGTTAAATTTTTAGTTTTACGTATAAAAAATGTTTGTTGGTGTGTGTACTTTTAAAACACATTTATTAAAATAAGTGAGTTTTAAACAGTGTAATAATCATTTTATGATAATTAAAAAATATAATAAGTTAATATATTAAGCTAATAACCTTTATAAAATAACCTTAATAAAAACCTTAATGCCGAAACATTAAAAAAATCAAAAATAACTAATAAATATCAAATTTTGACTTAAAGTTCTTAATTGTTAACTTATTAATAAATATATTAGGGAGAAAAAAAATTAGAAAAAGTATAACGTTTATCAGAATTGCTGTCTCCAGTAAATTTACTTAATGTTTTTCCCTTGTATCTACTTCAGACTTGATAATAAGTGTAAAATTTAAAGTATTTCAAGAAAATATGTACAATTATATATGTATATCATAATTTTAAAACGTATTACAATTATTTGCAATGAATATTTTTGAATGTGATTGACTAATAATTTATTGCTAACATTAAATCATATTATTTACTGTAAAAATAAATAGGAAACGATTATAGAACAGGTATATTTGAACTATCTGTTTTTAACTATTAATTTAATGCGAGTATTTTTAAATAATATTTTATGTGCCAATTACGTATGGTCAATTTTCTATAAATAAAATTAGGTGAATTTGTTTAAAAATCTTACAGAAGAGGCCGATTTATACTTCAAGTATATAAAACTTATTACATAATTATGCTAATTTATATCATTATTGTTACTGTTTTTTTGTTGATGATTCTTCAAAGAAGTATAACGTAATGGTTTGAGTATAGATGGATAATTTACATATATAATTTATTACATATTTTTTATATTAATGTACATTAAATGGTATGTAATTAAATATTCTTTATAAAGAGAGAAGATCAATTGCATCCCAGCAGTCTTTGTATACGGTCGTGCTTTTTGTTTACTAGTTATCACCGTGAACTTTCATTTTCATATTATTGTTATATATCCCATGGCGTTGTGTTTGAGCGGCGGCTTTCGTACGGTTAAATCACCTGCTCCAAATAAAATCAAAACTTCCAAGAACACTTCCCGTGGATTAGATTCTAATTTCGAGCTCGTTATTAGTAAAAAGAATGCACGTAAGTTTAATATTGAAAAATTTAATCCGGCTTTTCCGAGTTTTCGACGTATCATAAATAACCCGTCGCTTCTAATTAAATCAAACTACTTTTAATAACGATAATTTCTAATCTGCTAATAATACATCGTTGGATATAACTATTAACGATAATTATGTGGATACCGATAATTTAACAGCCACTCCATATCTCAAATTAATGATACACCTGTCTGCTTCAAATTGTACCACCCTTTCCGTTTCTAATGCTATTAAGAACTCGCCTCCAGTGCCGGTGCGAGGGGTGTGAGAAAGTCCAATCACAAAGGGTCTCGCACTTTTGGATCGGATCTTTGGCCTCGCTTTTTCTTTTGTAGTATATTCAGGTCCGGGGTTTCACGTTTATAATTTGCATAGAGTCTCGCAAATCATAGCGTCGACACTGCTCGCCTTGACACTATCTACATACCTTCTTTTTGAATTATAATGGTCCTATTCTTGTTGAATGCATCGACCCAAAGAAAAACTTGGGAAGTTGGCATCCGGTTAAGGCGGCAAGATTTTTTTCAACCAAATTTACTAGTATTACTAACATTAAACCTGTCGTTTTAAAAAAAAAAAACTTAAGATTACTTTGATTCAATCGAAAATGGTAACCTCTGCTTGAGATCTAATATTTTAATCAAACATGGGTTCTCGGCAGTTATTCCATTGATCTGATTTACTCATTTGGAGTAATCAAACTCGATTATGATATTCTGGAATGTGATTTCTGGGAAGGCCCGCGTTCACCCTTTCCAATGGAAAGTTTCAGACGTAGTGCAGTAAAGAAAGATGGTGTTATAGTACCCACTCGCATTATAGAGATGAAATTTCTTTCCCCTAAACTACCTCAACAGATCTCCGGTACAATGTAACCAGTGTCTGTATTTCGGGCATATCCAAAAATATTGTCGGAGTTATCCCAGATGCGGTCATTGTGGTGGTGTTAAACAGTCCATCGGTGATTACCCGACTGTCCACGACCCCTCATGTCTCTTTTGTAAACTTCCGCACGTTGCACCGATCGCAGCTGTCAAGAATGGGTATATCAGAAGGAATTAAGAAAATTATGGCTTATTAAAATATTTCTTATCAAGATGCTTTAGTTGTTAAAAAAAAATAATGGTTGTACTTCTTCTATAAATACTCTTATACCATTAACAGACAGCTTCCTGTTTCCAATACAATAGAACCTAATGTTCCCCTTCGCGTTGAGGATTTTTCTAATTTAAATGATAGTCACCATTTTTTTAAATCCAAACTATACCAAAATGCGTTTTCGTCACTCGTCTTTACCAAGTATGAATGTCTTACTCTTCTTCCTATGGGAGTCAATGGTGTGGTGAACATTTATAAATCATGATGCACAGCATATATTTCTATACCTACACAATCCACCACTTTCTCTAATGTACCATCATAAAAATGTTTTCAAAAACATAATCTAAAGAAATCTAAAAATGATTAAAGATTAGAATTAAAGTATTAATTAGGTATTAACAAAACCAACTACTTACATTATACTTACTCATACTTAGGATTAGCAAACTATAAAAGGCTTTTCCTTCATATCTTATAATTGGCTAATACCTACTGATTAACTAAACATACAGAATGTGTTGATCTTATGTGCGATATTTATACCAACTATCATGTATTTCGCTGCTACGTGTTTCGTGTCAGTGATATTTTAAACTAGGTCATTTTATATCTAAGCATATATTCAACCAAAATTGTTACACATCTAAATCCATCCACACACTAGCCCACCCATAAAAATGTTGTCCTAGGTGTCATAAATACCCCTTCACCATGCCACTGATGGGAGTTATTTTAATCACTCCATAGACCAAGACCAGGGTTTAGTTAACAAGGCTAATGATTTTTCCTGGGTATATACCTTATCACTCATTTTATCAAAACCTCTGATGAATTCATCTACGCTATCTTCATTTTCTTCCGCCGCTCTCCCTAATCTAATTGAATCTTTCTTCTCTTCTAACCGTTCCAAATCCTAACGTTGATTTTATTCCTTAAATATGTCAATCACCAAAAACATTAGGATTCCTGCCATACCCACCAACAGTGGTGTAGTGGAGACTACACGGGGGTACACGACCTGTACCCACTTCTGTTTTGTAGAATATGTGTGTACCCAATAAAAAAACCCAAGTTTTATATTGTCACTTATATTTTTAGCACTAAATCACTGTCCACCAACATTCTTCAATGGAATGTTAGAAGTTTGATGGTTCCTCTCCCTAATTTATTGTATTTACTTTTCAAGAATAAATGTCCTATTACACTTCTTTCGGAAACCTGGTTATTACTATACCCATTTATGCTAACTATAGATCTGATTGTTATTACGGCTATGGCGGGTTAGGTATTATAATTCACAATTCTTTTAAAGTCAAGGTCCATCCCTCTTGAAGTTGCTACTCGCAATGAATTTTTAAACTTCAACATTTATATCGTCGGCGCACAGATTTTCCTACCGAATTCATCCTAGCCTTTATTGTTATAGTCGTATTATATTCCTAGTGATACGAATATTCTTTAGAATTTATGAATTGCCCTATTCAGTTTCATTCAGCATAATTTCCTGCTTGGGAGGGATTTCAATGCCTTCCATCCAGCTTGGGGTTCCAATTTGATCTCACGTCGTGGTAATTTAATTTATGATAATGTCTACTATATAAGTCTCCTTAATGATGGTAGCTCTACTTGTATATTTAAAAAAAAAACAACTATGTTAATAATATTAACTAAAACGTTACGGTATATGTAATATATAGGTAAAAGTACTTACTTTTAACATACTGTCTAAACATATTTTCCCGTCATCTTTCATCTCCAATTTAATACAGATGTTTAAAATCAAAAAAATTAGTAGACTTTCATACAAGCAATGCTTTAAATAATTTTATATTTACTTTTGGTATATATATTTTTTGTTTGGAAAAAATTAGTTTAAATTATTTGGATAATAATCGATTATCAAATTCAAAGTTAATATTTTACGATATTGTATAGATTTAGGTTCCGTGAGTTATAATGGATCTATTTTTTCCGATTTATGAGTGTTCTTTTTTCAGGTTTGAGTTATAAAACTAGTAAAGTTTTACTTAAGATAATTGAAAATATTGTTTGCTATTATTTTGATACGACTGAAGATTAATTATAAATCCCAATGAACTAGACAGAGTAGGATGTTTCAATATAATAAAGTTCTAACAATAAAAATATGAGCTCGATATATGTAGCTTACATATATCGAGTTCATATTATTACATAATGTAGGCACTGAATTGACACATAATATAAATAATCTGAGTTTATTGTTATTTGGTACCTATTATGTTTTTAAATAACTACAATATTCTTGATTTTGGGTTTATGAATAAACTGGGTTCAATTTAATGGCGGATTTCTGTTAGTAATATTAAAAATTGAACAATTCTTACTGTGATAGCTTATTACAATACAGTCATTCAATAATACATAATATTATATAATATATAGTACTTAATATAATATATATATACACCTAGTATGTAAGCAGTGCAGTAACTAAAAAACTCAAGGTCTGTGTGCAAATCAAAATCTTGAGGATCCATACTTAATTTTTGAATAGCAATTAAAAAAAATTTAAATTTTAGAAGGAAGGGATTTTTAAATTTAAAAGTTTGGATAAAATATGATACTAAATACCCAATTTAATATGATAGGTAGTATATTATTTAAAAAAAATTAACATAGTTATTCTCTACATATATTATTATACATAATACTTACGGTATGTTATTGGGAAAAACTATTAGTTAATTAGTATATATAACCATTAAAACATGATAGATAAATAAAAATAAATAAATATTATATTTATTTTCAAAACAACTAGTACACATTATTTTTATATCATTTTTTTTAAAAATATTTATATGATTTAAACAAGAGTACATAATGCAATACCTAGAAGGATGCAAGGCAATAGGTTTTGGTAAAGTTAGTATATAACATTGGTTTTATTCAAATTAATTATACATTGATAATTTCCATACCAGTTATTGGACCTTTTGAGGCCCAAGATCTGTATGCAATGCAAACTCTGCATTCCCGGTTTTTATGGTACTGTATATAAGAATTTGACAGATATTTTTTATACTATAATTGTAGTATGCTTAAAATTAAACGGAAAATAATTAAATGAGGTTTGGTCACTATTTTACAGGATTGGTTAAGTAATCCAAAACATATGATTCATCAACCAATTAAGCACAGATGGCTTCAAAAATTACAAAATACACCTTCACCTGACCAACAAAGGTTCACTCATATTTCTACTGTAGATCAACAGAGCACAAAACCAAAAGTTGGTTTGCATGAATATATTTTAATTTAGTATGCGAATAATATTCTTATTAATTGTTGTGCCTTGTTTTTATTAATGAAGGATGACAAACTTCAAACATCAAATAAATTGGACTGTAAAAAAGTTGATGACAAGTCAACAGCTAAAGATATGTTGAGTCAAATTATCAATGAATCTTTAATGGACAATACATCGCCATTACCTTCTCAATTTACAACTAATAGTTACTATAAGACTGTATGTAAATGTTTTATTTTATATTTATGTTCATATTTATGTTCTATTGTATAATTTTATTCAGAGGGAAGAAACAAAATCTCCAGCTACGAGTACAATCAAACAAGATACTAAAAATGAGTTCACAGATTGGTCACACAATGATCGAAACATTACATCTAGAACTTCATCAAGCCAACGGTCTTTTAGTGAAGAGCTTGTAGAAAAAGAAACTCAAGAAGTAATAAGAAACTTGTTAGTATTGAATCAGATGTCTGGTTCGTCTCGTAACACAAGAGATAATATGCCTAAAAAACACTCACCATCAGTATCTATGTATTCTTCTCCTCATTCTTCTAATACATTAGTTAGTTCACCATTAGGAGTAATTCACCATCCTGCTTATAGGAACACATATAGTACAGTATGTATTGGTTTGGTTAATGTAATACTAATGTTTATGATATTGTGAATAATTTATTTTATTTTAAAATTCCAGACTAGCAGTACAATGTGTAAATCAAGAAATGAATTAACACATGGGACAACAATAGATATTCCAAAAATGAGTATTGGTTTCCAAGAAGATGAGTTCCTTAAACAAATGGTTAAAACTGAAGAATCCAATTCACGGTTAACTAAAGATAATAATTATCAGTAATAAATTATTAATATATATTATACTAATATTAAACTAAAGTTTTTTTTTAATATGAATTTTTATTATTTTCATTTGCAGAAAACAGGGGATATCACCCTATAGTTTAATTAAAACTAGTGCTCAATCATCTGACGTAAGCTTATTTATTCTAAATTATAAAAATTTGTATTAATAAATACAAATTATTTCAGAATTTATTTCAACAACAACTATATTCAAAAATTAATACAAAATCAAATCAGGATATGGGTCATAATTCAATAACATATAGTAGTAAGTTAAAATAAATATTGGAGTATAATAAATTTAAATTGATTATATAAATTGTACTAATTGTAATATGAATATTTTAGATGTAAACAAGTAGAGAATATGTATGCATTTGTATTTCTGCAGTACGGAACTATATAGGTATTTGATACAGTAAGAAATATCTCAAATTTAACACTCTATAGTAATAATTATACTATTTTTGTTTTTATTTATATAATTAGTATTATATTTAACTAGTAGTATTATAATTATTGAAAATACATTTTAAGACAAATATTAAAAAAAAAAAGAAAAGTAATAAAGTGTACATTAGGTGAATTTTAAAAATAAATGTTTATGTATATAAAACTGTATCATCCTTGTTAATTTGCTCGGTGTACATTCCATTAAAGTCCATCCTATATATAACCAGATCATAACAATGTAAGTATACATACAATATAAATTATTATATTAAATTAAAATTATTATAGACATTGTTATAAATAATTATTTAACTTCCTTACCTATACAAAAAATTGTATATAATATTACCGCTATCCAATCTACTCATTTTTCTTATACATTTTAAAAGGTCAATCATTGCAGCTGTAAATTTGTTTTCTAATATTTGTATTTGCTTTTTAAAATCTATTTTAAGATTAAGATGACTTTTGGATAACTGAAACAATATACTCAAATTTTTTAGAAATTCTTGTTACATAAAACATCAAAATTACTTGTGAAAATAATAATTTTATTGACTGTATGAATTATATAAATGCTTTTAAATTTTTGTTTAAATTCATGATCTATATTTAATTTAAATGAATAATTAGTTATTTTTAGTAAAAGTAAACTTACATCAAGAATGAAATCACTGAATTCTGTACATAATTCTAGTAAATATCTACTGCGTTTCATTAAATCAGGATTTGTAACCATACAGTTTTTCAAACAAAGATTTAAAAACTTTTGCTGTTCATCCAATAACTCATCAACATTTTTAACCTATACAAATATGAATTAATAAAATGTAAAGTATATTAATATTTAATTTTAATTTTTACTACAAAGTAAAAACAATATACGTTATATTGAATAGCAGATGTAAATGTTTGCCACTGTGTTTCGATGACTTCTTCAAACATATAATATTCTAGGTTTTGAACAAATAACAACATGTTTTGCCTTAAATTAAAAGCCTTTTTGTAGGTAATTGCTGATGAATTTGGTATTTTTTTTAATTGTTTATCACACAGCCATATTCTATTCAAATTAAACATTAATACAAATTAAATTTTAAAATAAACCACTAAGAACATCAGTAAGTGTCACCCCATCAGTTACATGCAACAATGAAAACAGTTATTAGATTCTGATTGGAGTAAGTTGTTAAGGTTTGTGAAAATTACTTATTATTTATTAAAAAAATTGTAATTCTGTCAAGAGACTCTGTTCAGAATCAAATAAAGATTATAATATATTTATTATTATTAAGTTTGATGTTACAATTATATACAATTATCCAAGCAATACTCAATGTACATAGTACCCTCCTTGTGCAAAGTTATAACCATTTTAAAATAAATAGAAATATATAACATTTAAATTGACAACAAATATTACATAATAATATGTACATTCAATTTCTTATTGATTTTCTTTTAGATATTAAATTAAGAGCTGAAAAAATAATAAAGTTTTAACTTGTTACGAGTATTAAACAAGTATTTCCTTATTAAATTATTCAGAAAAAAATCAATGGATTATTTTTTGCATTTTACATGTATCAATATAAATCCAATTTAAAAAATATATTAAAACAATATTAATAATAATTTTGAGGGTAAATTAAGGAATCTTTTCTTTAATTTTAAATTCAATTTTTGTTATCATTTTTCCACTACAACAGTTGAAGAGGATATTAACAATAACTGTTATATGAGAATCTTAACATACAGTAATTCATTAACAATGCTCACATAGATAAAAGTTTTTTTATTATCTTAATCTAAGGTACTGACAAAAATAATTTATGATACTTTGCTTTTTGATAAACATTAATTTTAATTACAGCTAAACCCCTCTCGTTTGTCACTCCCGTTGATCAGACCATAGTATTATCTATATGAATACTTTAAAAATATGTGCATTTGGATTTTCCAATTTGTAGTATGTAACTAGATTTATATTAATAAAATTATTTATGTAATTTAATATATGTATGTAATTTAAAATAATTTAATAAATAAATTTGATAAAATGTTGTCTTCAAATATTTCTGAATATTCTGATAATCTGACCTTTTTTGAGTTCCGACCAAACCCTCAGTCCCAAAAGTGACGAATTAGACGGTTATACTGTAATGCTTATTTAATCAAATCTATTCAGTTTTAGGATTATCAAATATTATTTAAAGTTAATAGCTCAAATTGCAGTATATTATTGCATATATCATATCGCGTTGCATTGTTTTTTTGTGGTTTCAATAATAAAAATTAATATTTACTCATGAATCCTTTGAGATATGAAATTTAAACTAGTCAACAATTTCTTACTAACTTCAAAATTCCTAACATTTCTAAAATATGGTAAAATATGTACTATATTGATTAATTATAATTTTCGGTGATCCTTAGTTACCAAAACACTACATTTCAACTTGAAATATACTATTATATGCTATTGGTTGAGAAATCTTTAATTTTTACATTATAGAGCTTGAAAGAGTTTCAAAAGATGCTTTAATTTGTCCTTTATTGGATCTATTAGGTTATAGAATTATCAAAAATTATTTAAGAGAATCCAAAACTCGTCCTACATTACATATTTTAGGCCAATGGCGAATCTCTGGATTGTTCCCTGCAGATTTTATCTTTCACCTAATTGTTATTATTTTTGGCATCATAGTGTTGTTTTATTTTAAAAATAAATTTATTAGGTAGTGGTTAAATAATTAAATAGAATAATAAAAAAAATAATTAATATTTTTTTTAATTTTATTAAGAGTAAAATAAAAAAATAATATTTTCCAAGTATTAAGACTCAAGACTTATGATTAATAATACTAACAATCTACTATAACTCTGAGCAGAAAATGTAGAAATTGGGAGTTATTAGAACTAGTTTGATGATTGAAGAACTAAGTCCTCAAGTTATACTTACGATCAAAGTATATTTTATGGGAAATTGATATTTAGTTACTTTGTAAAATTAATAATATATATATATATTAAAGTTTAATTAATTGTATTATATCAACTTACTTTATTTATTAACTTACTTAAGTAGTTGACGTTCTACACTTTTGAATAATAATAACAATCTGAATAACATTTGATAATTTGATATAACAGTTTCATTGAATATTAAAGAAACTGGCCATTGTGTAGTTAATCCTAAACAAAATGATTGTATACCTAACAAGGTTGATGCTGGTTGAAAGATCGTATAATCTATAAAAAAAATTAATGTTGATAAAATATAAAATTTAACATATTAAATATTTTATTATTACATATTTAATACATTATTTTGATGTTGGTATTTATTTTTATAAACATTACCTTTTAAATACAAATACTTGAATTTAAAATGGTAGGTAATACCAGTTTTAGTTTAAAATATAATATTTGTGTATCAACAGCATCATAAAACAATATAGTAAGAATAAAATGTTAGCAAATAAAAAAAAAAAAATGAAAAATCAAGCATTTCAGATGATTTAAGTTTTAATTATAGTAAAAATTAGATTACTTTTCTTAACCATTGCCTTATTTCCAATTACATAGGATGACCATTTTTGTCCTCCACCTTTACATAATTCCATCTCCCACCTCTCTTAACTTTTTACTTACATTCATTAGGAATTTCACCATTTTATTTTAATTCTATACAATTTTTTTCCCTCAACATTTATTTACATGACACCTCTTACCACCTCATCTCTCTTTATAATAAACCTGAACAATCATAATCATAACTTATTATCAGTGGCGGTTTGAGTAACTGAAACTCCAGGAGCAAGCTTCATAAAACCACCCACCCACCCACCCACTGTAATTTGTAATGTATATCTTGACTCCAGTGGCCCCATGATAGATACATATCCACCCCTCTTTGGACTAGGAGCGGTTGCTCCTGATAGTCTTATAACAAGCCACCTCTGCCTATTATTTTAAATTGTTTTCTATTATTTGTGTCACATATATTGTTTACTGTATATATATATATTTTTATTCTCTCCAAATGAACTAATGATTTGTGTACATAAATATCAAATACACAAAGTAATTTATAATTGACGAAATATTGACTTTACAAAATATACCATATAAATACGAGATAAGTAAATGAAACTACAATGATTAATTAATCTATACAGAGGTATCTAAGTATAATTGTAAAAATGTTAAGAAAGATAATTTTTTTACAATTAATTTTTACCTTTTTCTTTTTCGGTTTGAATTGCAAGTATTTTAAATATTTGAAAACTCAGTGGATCTTTTTTTAATTCCATTTTTATATCATCTTTATATTGGTCAACACATCCAACATTTACTCGCAAACAAATATCCAACAATGATTCTAGTCTGTTGTAAACAATGTCATCGGTGGGTTTTTTTAATTCTTCATCACATACATCTAATAAATGAACAACAAAATCTCCTTGTTCTAGTAGAAAATAACGTTTAATAGATCTGAAATTTATTTTAGTTTTAGTAATTAGATGGAAAAAAAAAAAAAATCTAGTTACTTTAATCTGTTCATTAAGTCATAGTCATTCAGTAAAACATTTAATAAACTATTGCTTGCGAACATATAAGCACTGTTTATAGTTTTAAGATAATTTGTAGCATCAGAACACCACAAAGAGTATATTAATTTTTCATCACTCGTAGATTTGTAAACCAAATTTGATTTATTTGGAATATCTAGATAATAATAATATGAAAATTTTTATGTAGCAAAAAAGAAAAGAAAACTATTGATGAACTTACTACAGTGATAAAGTGCATTTAAGTATTTTCCAGTTCGTAGAATAATTTCTTTAAATTTTTCTAAGTAGGATGGAACAAATTCATTTCTGACTGTATAACATCTATTCCAATATTTTTCCGTATCATCACTTAACACAAGGTGACCACATTTGATCATAAACTTAAGTAAAATTCAATAATTTATAAATATTTAGAAAGTATTCAAACTTAAAATAATAATATACCTCATCACAAGGGTCAAATACTTGTCCTTTGAAAATCCATTTTTCTAAGGATTGGAAAAATGGAATTGTTGATACTTCAACCATACCTCCCAAAAGTTTTTTAAGTGAATTATCAATATAGCATTGAATAACTTCTTCGTGTAATATTGAAAGTGACTGACCACCTTTTTTATTTTCCTAACAATAATGGGTATTTATTATAAATAAATAAATGCACATATTTCTATTTTATTATATTAAACTAATTTGCTAAACTTTTCAAATTATAATAAAAAATAATTCATAAAAAATAATATTAGTGTGTTAACTTCTTAGCCAATCAAAATAAATATACTTAGAATTAATAACCTTTTAAATTTTATTTGGTATGACAAAAATCATTTAATACAATCAGTCATATACAAGAAGAAAATTACTTTTATAATATATATTTTATACATACTAGCATTATTGTTGATACTATTCGAGCCACATATTCCATTTTGTAAACATGAGCTTGGGTTGCAAATGATAATGATTGTATACTAAGATTCTCAGACTTGTGCTGATTTTCAAGGCTTATTATAAAATTCTACAAAAAAAAAAAAAAAAATGAATAAATTATTATTCAATAGTTATTGGCTGAAAGTCTTAAATTTAGAAATAATTTTATTTTAATAAATTTTATCATTTATATAAAAAATTGTAAAAAAACACAATAACATAATTTTTATTGACAATTAATAATTTGCATAGACTTACTAAGTAATCACGTATAAATTTGCTTAGATAACAAGCCAAAGCTTGATTAACATATCCATTATGGCTTTGTCGATTTTCTTCACAATATCGACAAATGATAGTATAAGCTGATGCAAGTCTAAGTATTTTTGACACTAAACATTTATACTGTGGATCTGAGCAAAAAAATAGTTATCAATTAAGTTAGGGCCAAATTAAAAAATAATAACAACTATTTATGTACCTACAACAAAAATATATTTAATATCTTCCTGATCAATATTATTTGTTTATTCAATTATACATAGATATACAAGTGAAAATGGTAGATTGGTATTTTTATCGTATGCTGTCTACCGCTTATTTATATTTGTCATATGCGATCTACCATGCATGTTTATATAAAAATATGCAGTAATGTATTATAATACATAGGTAAATTAGTGTATTACAGTATAATATGTCAATACGTATGTATTAAAAACTAAAAGTTTCAGTTTGTTTTTTCTTCTTTCTTTGCAAGAATAGAATTTAGTTTATGAGTCACAGTAAACACAAGGGGTGTTGATTCCAATAAGTCATCTTTCCTTTAAAAAATATATGGTATATTCCTCTGATTGAACAATTGAATAAAAAAATGTTTAGCTAACTTAAGTGTTTTAACTTTAGAATAATGTATCACATACAACAACACAAACTAAACTGAAACTAATTTTCTCATATATTAACAATTATAGTCACAATTATTGCTAGACTTAATTATTGAAGTTAAATCATTAAGATAATACTTAATCGCCATCGAATCAATAGGAATGATCTCACACATATATATATAGATGAGTGGCAGATCACATATAACGTATAGAAACATACATAGTAGATGACATACAATAATACCGGTAGATTTTTGATACCTACTGGTAAATATTGACATTCAACCGTCCAAAATTAAGTAATATTTAATAAAATTATAAAAATTATAATAACATACCTATGGATGTATGAATATTAAAAGTAATTGGTGTATTAAGTTTATTTGGAGTGATGAATTTTCCATGAAAGCCCTGAAGACAAGAAAGAATATCATCAACTAGAACACATTCTTCAGGAGAAATAGTATCTATACAATATGATAGAAAACAATAAACATTATATGTTTTTTAACAGTAATAAAATAAAATAATCATACTGAAAGAAGATACTGGTATATTAAAGTAGTCCAGTGCTTGATATTTTCTAATATTTTTCCAAAGTGGAAGTTGATTACAAACACTTTTTTTCAAAACTAATTTTTTGTCTTTTGTTTCTTTTTTCATTTGTCGTTGTTTTTGAAATTCATTTTTTTTTTGTATAAAATATTTTTATTATAAAAAAATTACCAACTTAGTAGAATAATTACTAATTTTTTCAATACTCAAGTAGATGATTAACTGTTACAATGACCTTTGTAATATCAAAATTATTGTTTAAATAATATAAATGTATTTTATGTACTTTAATTTGAAATATAAATTACATACCAATTAAATTTACAAGACACATCAATTATAATATTTAAATTTAGGGTATAACTCAAGTGATTTTTATTTTTAAAATACTAAGTTGTAAATCAACCTATGTTTAGATATACATTTAAAAAGTGGTTACGATATACTAAGACGCAGAATGTCTGTCTTTCACCTTCTCAAATTATTTTTTCTACAGAAAATAGAAAAGCCAGTCTTATATTTGAACTGTAGCTTTATCTAGAATTATATAATTATTGGTTAAAATTCGAATTCATTAATTTACTACATAATTGTTATAATAAATTGGGTTAAATAGAAGTATAATTAAAAAAAAAAAAAAAAAATGAAAATACCTCAACTTCATTCTTATAGTGTTGTGTAAATTCTGAACAACTTATTTCTCGCTCATATTCTTTAGTCCGTTTTTCCAAGAACGTTGTCAACTTTTTATCTTCACGTACTTCTTGAATCAATTCCATAAATTTGCTAAGTATTTTATGGCTATGGAAAATAAATTTCTCGTAAAATTGAAAAATAAATTAACACTTAATTTAAGTTGTCAGTGGCGGATCTAGGAATTTGTTTTGGGGGGGGGGCCCAATATTTTTTTACATCAGTACATATTTTTATAAAAACATTTATATTAGTATAATGGTATATTAAAATATATTATTAATTATAATGTATTATATAAGTGTACACACATAAAAAAAGTATTAAAATCAAAAATATTTGTATATAAAAAAAATATAAATAAAAGTAGTGTTTTATAAACAAAATTGTAATGTTTCGAATGTTGTTTTGCAAACAAATCTATTACTTCTTCTGGTTTTATATCAATATGATGATGAATATTTAATAATGATAACCCATTCAAACGATTTTCTCCCATTGTCGTTCTCAAATATGATTTGATTCTTTTTAAGCTAGAAAAAGATCTCTCACTTGTTGATGTCGTTACAGGTAATACAAGAATAAGTAATAGTTGTCGTATGTTTGGGAAATATCCACCTTTAGTTTCTTTAAATGCTTCCATAGCGGTGCTGATTTTTGATTTTTTTTTCTGGTTGTTTAGCCCAATGTAACTGCCACAACATGATTTCAGCTATAAAAATGCAATAGAAATTATTTCGGTTACATAATAGGTACCTAGATATACTTATTATTTTACCTTTTAATTCGTTAAGTGTTCCTGGTAAATCTGATTCATAGAAAGATGCACCTTTTAAAATATCCTCTTCAGATAGAGCATTTAAGTAATTTGGTATAAGTTGTTGTATTTTAAACACTACATTATTTTGATTGTCCAAAAACATATTTTGAATAGACGTTATAAAATTATCCAAAACGGTGAAATAAACTGTAATTTTAAAATATTCTTCAGTACTTGAAGTAGTTAAATTTGATCGGTGAGCTTGTCTTTTACATATCCGTGGAATTTTAACATCAATATTTAACACGCCTGCTTTAGACACAGCTCGATTAAAAATATTATTAAATTTTGTTACTTCTCTGTTATTTTTAAGAGCAACCAACACAAGATTTATCATTTCAATACACTTTGTTAAATCTAAATCTGGATTTTGTAGCTGACATGATATTGGCAAAGTTATTGACAGTATTTCGACCGCTACTTCCAAAGACAAAATAAATTCAAAATTTAATACTGATCGAAGAAGTCCATTGCATTTTGAAAGTATATTTCCATCTGTTTTACCTATTATATCTTCCAAGAATTTTATAATAGGCAAAAGCATATCCGAAAATCTAAGAATCGCCTCATGAGATTCAACCCATCGCGTTTCGCATAGTTTTATTAAAATAATAGATTTTGATGTCGGTAAATGTTCAGTGATTACTTTTTTAATCAAATCAACTCTTTTTGGGAAATCATGTACAAAATTGCATACTTCTTTAACGGTCGAAAATAATTTTTTTATGGATAGTACATTGCAAGCTTTTAATAATGTTAAATTTAACCGATGTGATGCACAATGTGTATAAAACGATTTTGGTTGTAAATTAAGAATTCTAGCTTGTACTCTTTTATATTTCCTCGACATATTAGCACCTCCATCGTATCCTTGGCCTCGTAAAAATTCTAAACTTAAACCTAATTCCTTCAATTTTTGAATAATTACATTAGCCAAGTTTTCACCAGTACATTCAAATACAGGTACAAACCAAATAAAATTTTCTTTAATTGTACATGTTGTTGTATCTACATATCTAACAGATAAACTCATTTGTTCAATATGCGCCAAATCTGAAGTTTCGTCACATAAAATTGAATAAAAAACACTGTCCTTCACCTCTTTTATAAGTTTATCTGTTATGACTGAGCTGCATATATTTATCAATTCATTTTGAACAGTTTTACTGACAAATGTCGCGTTTTTTGATACCGATTCAAAATGTTTACGAAAATTTTCATCACCAGCGTCTATTCTAAATAATAACAATTGTTTAAATATTCCAATATTTTGATTATTAATTGCTTGAATTTCATGAACATTTGCTGTATCGTCAATAGGAATCAATTTTTTTAAATTAACATCATCACGGTGTCCTTGCAAAGAAATATTATAACGGCCACAAAAAATAATAGTTTTAACTATGGGAATCAATTTATTTTTATTTTCTTCAACTGTTTTATTTAATTGATCATCAAGTTGAACTTCAATGGTTTGTTGTTTACCTTCAAAACATTTAATAAATTCCAATGATCGTAAAGTTGCAGTTTTATGATATTCTCTTTCACAGTGTTTTTTTAAATCATATAAAGCATCTTTGTACTTAATTAAAGGAGTTTCTTTCAAGATTCCAAGCTTTTGTCCCCCAATACCACCCACCTTTGGTCCAAAAAGTACACAAACTTTGCAAAAAGCTCCCTTACTTAAATGACTATAAGCTAACCAATTGTATTTATCTATCCATTCAATACGAAAATTTCTACTATGACCGTTTTTATCTTTTGTTACTGGAAAAATATAATTTTTATTTGGAGTCCACGTTTTACTTAAATAATTATAAAGTTCACTTATCTCTTTTCGTATTTTAACATTACATTCCTCTTCAACTGCGAATCCTATATCATACTCTTTAGTTGTGACATTATATAACGAACTACGAAGGCAAGACGATACTCATATGTGTAACAACGACAAAAGTAAACTAAACCAAATCATATAATATTTTAACCTATTTCTAATAATTGTTCATTTCAGATAAGATATTTGACACTGGCTGCAAGTTATGTCATTTTACGTCAATCTAATAGGCGATAAGATAAGATGTTATATTATAGCGGCATTCACGGTTGACTTATAAATATAAAGTATAATATAATTAAATATTAAGTATTAAAACAAATTCAAAACCTGAATTTTTCGTAAATCATGATTATAAATTTAAGTCACGGTTATATTCTTATACATCTTATGGGCCAAGGAGGGCCCAGGCCCCTCTGGCCCCCCCTTAAATCCGCCACTGTAAGTTGTAATAAAATATTAGCTCACTCAATACTCTGTACTTTTTCTTTTAATTCAATAGGATTCTCAGAGTGAAGTAACAGTTTCTGTAGTGTATAATCTTTTGAATGTTCAAGTTGAACATCATTTCGATTCCATCCTTCTAATTTATCAAATATATCTTCAACGGTAGTAGTCGATCTAAACATAGAAAATTCATTTCCAATGTTATATACTTCGAAACCCAAAAATTATTAGATTCTAAAACAATATATTTACTTAAAACATGTTATTAACTCTTCGATGGGTATCCTCGCACGATCCATGTTGCTATTATTTTTGTTATACTACAGATTAAAATGGGTGATTACTAAATCATTATTTTATAATTATTAAATATTACAACAAAACAAAAAATTAAGCATACTACATTTCTAAATTACTTTAACGGAATTCGAAACAGAAAACAAAAACTATAAGATAACAACTTACAATTTATTAAATTGATTGATAACAAGTTAAAACTGCACCAATGTGTATTTTATCCATTATGGTTTTGTACGAATGTAGATAATATGGGTTAAAATGTTTTCAACCGTGATAAAACTCGTTTGCTTGAAACTTGATCGTTGGCGAATACATAACTTTATTATGGGGGGTATCAGTTGTAAACAAATTATTATAGAAGGGAAATTCTTAAACCTAAGTACCTGCACATTTCAATAATAAATAATAAAAGATATATATAAATACATATTTAATGTGTTAAAATAATAATTTACGATAAATCCTTGCAATATTTTTTTGTTTCCTTATAATTTATTTACATTAAGAATGCTATTTTATATAATTTTAAAAAGACCTATGGAGGGGATCTGACCCCCACATCCCCCCTTGTATATGCCCTTGAACTCGAACTACTATACTGCCATACTAAGCCTACACTTCTTCAGTTTTAATCTCGGATTAACATACATATATATAGTATATATCTTAGTCTGTGATTTAAATCATTCACTATCAGTGGAGTATTTAAAATGGTTTTTAAAAAATAAGTTTCTTTATAATATTATAAAAAATACATGTAATATAACATTAATACCTATAATAATATATATATACCAAGGGCGTATTCGAGGGGGGAGAGCGAAGAGGGTATTCGCCCCCCATAGCTCGTATTTTTTTTTAATATAATACATTGATTTATTAAAAAATGTAATGTATAAATAATTAAAAATATAAATTACTAGTATAAATTACTATCATTATAATATGATAATAAATTCAATAATATGTCAATTGAATCACGGGTATCAATTTTTGTTTATCTTCATATATCATAACATTTTTCGTTGTGGAACGAATAGTAGTATTATCTTCCACAGATATTGCTACGGTTATAGACATTGACAACCATAACCGAGGTATTTATCAGATAATGTAAAGTAATTTAAAGTAACACTTTTTATACTACATGTTTACTAGTTAGTCATTTTTTGGTACATTTACACATATTGTATAATTTTGTATTTATTAGAGCTATATAAGTCCTTAATAATTCTACCCGCCTATTTTTTTTTTTTACAACATAATATCTGGTACTTTTTGTTGTGCATAGGTATTTAGTCATTTTTTTGTACACAAATGTATGCATATTTGTATATTTTATAGAGCTATAAGCCCCTAAGCCAAATAATATTCATAATAACTGACAATATTTGTTTCCATATTCTTTAACTTGCAAATATTAGCCAAAAATATATTTTTGTAAATTGAAAACATGATTAAGATCAAGAATAGGCCGGCATAGATTAACACGTTTGGCTTTGCTGCATATGTATAAAAATATTATTGTATCCATTGATGAAACAATCAACAAATTTGCCAAAATGAAAAAAAGAAATTTGGAATTTGTTATTTGACAACTTACCAATTTTATATTTTTTACTTAGATATTTGTTAAATTAAGTTACCTATCTTAATTGTTTTTTAAAGTTTTTAAAAAATAATTAATAGGTACTATTACTATTATGATTATTTGTTATTTTTATATACAGGATTCAGACTAAAGGTACAATTTTAATGTAAGAACTATTCTTTCTTTCTTTCTGTGCCTTCACAACTCTGTAAGAGTTTTGGCTGCCACTGTCACTGTTCTCCAATAATCACGATCCTGTATCCTCTCCTCCCAATTTGTTACTTCTAACCTCTCTAGATCTTGTTGCACTCCATCCATCCATCGTTTCTTCGGTCTGCCTCTAGGTCTTCTGCCTGCTGGCTTGTATTCGATTGCTGTTCTGACTTCATTTGTTTCGTCTCGTCTCATTGCGTGTCCAAACCATTGTATTCTCTGTCCCTTTATATGACTTGTTATGGGAGGTACTTTGGTGATTTCTCTTATTTCTTTGTTTTTTCTTCTACGCCACCTGTTTATTTCAGAATCAAAAAACGGTCCACATATTGTTCTTAAAACTCTATTCTCAAAACTTCTGAGTTTTTGTTCGATTTGTACTGTCGTCGGCCATACCTCACATCCATAGGTTAACGTTGGTCTTACAATGCTCATATATAGTCGTACCTTTGTTCCTCTAGAGAATAGTTTTGATTTAAAAAATTTTATTAGTGAGAAGAAAGTTCTTTCCGCTTTGAGCAAGCGACTAGTTATTTCAGTGTCCCAGTCATTGTTACCAGTGATTGTTACACCTAGGTATTTGAAGCTATGTGCTTTCTCAAATACGTAATTATCTACTGTAAGGTCTTCCTCATCTTTTTCAGGCAACGTTTCCATTACTTTTGTTTTTTCCTCATTTATTTCTAGACCAATCTTTTTTGCTTCCTGTATGAGTGTTTAGGTATTTCGCACAATCATTTCCTTGTTTTCTCCTACAAAATTCAGATCGTCTGCAAAACCTAGTACGTCTAACGTGGTTTTGCCATTATTAATTCCGAGTTTATTACTTTGTACACTGCGTATTACTTTTTCTAATGCTATGTTGAAAAGTATTGGCGACAGTGCGTCACCCTGCTTGAGTCCTGTTATCACTTCAAATTCTTCGGACAATGTACAATCCATTCTAACTTGATATCTTGTTCCGTTCATACACATTTTTGTCAGTGATATGAGTTTTATAGGAAAGCCGAACTCATACATT